TCTAGATTTGATACTAATTGATAGATACTGATATAAAAAAAAGAAAGAAATCGAACGACGTAAATATTGAGAAAGGCAATCTGACTTTTGTTCGAGAAAATTTTGAACGAATCCATTTTCTAGAAATAAATTCAATTTACGAGATAAAAATTTTATACTGAACAGACTAGTAGACAGGCCAGGCCTAAAAATCGTGGCCTGTACCTGCCACAGGCAGACAGATAGGCCTAATGACCTGTTTCGGGCTCTGATTCAAAGAACAATCAGACTAACTCTTCACTAGCTCGACCTAATGCACCAAAAATTTGGATGTACAAAGTTTACATGAGACTAATTACGATAAGATCATTAAATCAAAAAATAAAATTTTGATACATGGTTTGATTTCTTGGCGACCTCACAGACGCTTTCATAAAAAATTTTGATAAAATACAACACATAGTAGAACCTTGAATAGTTCCAATTTTCAAATATGTCTTTATCAACTTTTTCTGTAACGCATATCAAAATGGTTATGGACATTGTATAAAATATTATGAAGACTTCATTGCACATGGCACATGATAAAACTAGTTTATAGTTTTTTCACTGCCTATACTAAATTGACGTAAAACGGCGTACCTTCGCACATATTATGATAGAAACTACAGTCATGCAGTTTGAACAATTGACACGAAGGCTTTCAGTCAATAACAGAGCGAATACACATGTACATAACTTCTGGTCTTTTTTCCTTATTCTGCTTTTTATTCTTATCCTATCTTTACAGCTCTTCTATCGCTACTCTTCTAATTGATTTCGTTTTTCTTACATTCTTATGAATACATACCTCATGAAAAAAAAAATGAGAGAATGACGTCGTTATGAGCTGCTGGTATGTGTACTTGCTTGTGAGCGAATATGTCCTCGTGTTCAAACGATGAATAAGTTAATTCTGTCTTCGTCTGATGTGTACGCGACTACTGACGTGAATGATACATCTTGAATAAAGAGATAAAAGAAAAACTACTTCTAGAAAAAAAATGCTCGATTAGTAATAATGCTCGTGACTGCAATTTTTTCCCATTGAAAGTAAAAAAAAATAAAAAATAGATGTGCGGCAGCAAGAAAAAAAGTAGCCGTTTTCTAAATCTTGCGTTCAGTAGAAGAACGGTGGAGCAACTACAAAACAAGCGTAACTCTTTTGAAAATTAGTGCTGCTGATAATGTCTATATCAATGAACAGTACAAGTGAGCTACAATGTTTACGAACAACTGATTATCTTTTTGTCAAACAATATCGATCTCTTATAGAAGATACCTAAGAAAAACTAACATAACAAATTACTCACTTTTTCCTCACTCCGACGCATTAACTGGTTACTAGCCGACATCAAAATTTAGTATTTTCAATCCCAATGGTGAATTATTATTTAATGCAAATGAAGGTGAGAAAATGATATTCGTCATTTCACTAAAATACATCATCTTATTTTCAGATTCAACTTGTTGTCAATGTTGTTGGTGCATCAACAGCTGTTCAATGCGTTTAGATGCGTTTGGCCAATTCTGAGAACAAAACGCATCCGCATCTTCAGTGTGGTTAAACGCAACTATTCGTTAAAACACGTTTTAACGCATAAATACCGGCACAAAAAAGAAACGCGCTCAAATCTGGAATGCATTCAGACGCTTTTGCTTGTTTAGAAGCATGTGGGAACTGCTTTTAGACGCGTTTTTTCGCTTAAACGCATCTAGAAGCTTTAATAGACCGCGTTTGAACGCATCTCCTGACCAATGTTTTGAAAAATGCCTCTAAACACAGAATTTTGGGTGGGGTGTAGGTGTGAATTGTGTCCTAATCCACACCCCACACCCTCTGTAACATCCAAAATACAGAAATAAAGCGTTGTTTTCGTTTCGATTCAAAAATTATTGTCATATACATTCTGCCGATGAGATATATCAATTTCCATACTGATAGTGCAGTGTTTCGTTCAAAATAATATAATAATCGATTAGTATTTTAAATCCGAATTTTCGTTTCTTTGACTGGTTTTCACAGAAAATAATTTCAAGTAAATCACATCTTGAGCAAATATCTTTATCAATATATACTTCTAATGATTAATAAAATAACAGAAAATAAAAAAAGTCAAAGTCTTTCAAATCCATATCACCACAGGAGTATGACGCTTCAATATTTTTTGTTATTTGTTAATTTCTGCCTTATTCCGATCTTCATTATTGTCATCTGATTCTGTACGTTGTTTTCCACAATCATAAACGACAGAAGAACTTGAATCATTGTTGTTAACAACAACAAAAGATGTAATAACTGGTCCAACGTTTGTGTGTAGCTGATTAATAATCAGATTATTAATAGTCTAAGTAAAAAAAAAACAGATATTAGAATGAATGACTTTGCTTCTAATTAAACAGTAACAATAAAAAAAGTTCTAACTGAGAATTGAAAAATTTAACCTAGGGATGTTTATGTAGTAGCACAACAATTAAGTTAAACGTAGAATTTACATACAAGCTACAGGCATCTATCGTCTTAGTATAATGATTAGATGTCTTCGAAGATGTTAATTATTTATGTTTTGAAGTATTTTAAATGCGTTTTCAGAGACAGACCACACTGTGGAAACAGTTGAAATTAATGACGCTTGAATACTATTTTCCCGGTTGGTTGTCTGTCTAGGGTATCCACAAGGTACTTTGCTCGTACTTCCAGATTATCAAACATGGAACTATTCTAGACAAGTCAATAACGGCTGATCTGTCTCGGATCAACCGTCCAATATCATGCTGACTACGTTTTGACATACATTTGCTCTTGTAGCTACTATGCAGTTAGTGAGCGTGCACGTGGAATTCAAACAATTGAGCACGGCAGCTTTGCGTTACGGTCGCCTTCTGTCTAGAGCTACAATTAGTATTGGTCGTCAGGAAGACATTGGACTATTCAATCAACCACTATACAGTACTCCTACCGTAAGGTAACTGAAAGCAAGGATATTCTTCCTTTCTTTTTCAGTGACTTCTTTCATTTTTTTTGTTGTTACACACTTCTTTGAAGGCTTCTATCGTAAACTCATACAAGTTCCGAATAATGACGATCATTTTGTGAAACATAATCTGAAAGGAGTATTGAAGTATATGGGGTAGAAATCTGCACTCCCCCCCCCCCAGGCCGTGATAGACATTTTAACTAATTAATTAATTAATTACTATTTAATTAACTAATTCTTATCACAGACGATGACAGACGGCTTCAAGGAACTATTAGATGTTATATATAACTAATATCTAATTGTAATCTATATATAGTATTTCTTTGTTGAAGTTTTATGCTGTAAGGTAAGAAATGATGGCGAAATATGCCTCAATATGCATAAAAAAAGAACAAGTTTTTAGAGGATTAATAACAATGGACACATCGTGTTTCATATTTTAATCCCGCAGAGATTGCACTGACAACTTTTCTCAACGTATGAATATTACGAAATTGACGTAGCATTTGTCCTATGAGCAATTCTTATGTTCTGCAGTTACTTTTGAGCAATCATATTGTATTATATATTTTTAGATGAATAAATCACTGATTTATTCATTTTATAATCAAATGAAATGTATAATACAATTGGAGAAAACGTCAATCATTAATAGGCTACAAATTATTACAGTTGTTACATAGCATATATTGACTTTTCTTGCATCGAATAATTTCGACTAATACTTTCTGATTTAAGTATCATATTTTAATTGCAAATTTTCTATTATATGAATAATGTACAATGACAACAGAAAATAAAAAATGTTTATTCATTATTTTAAGTCTTCTGTGCTTTGCGCGAAGAATTTTTGTTAATCAAACTATATAAATTATTCATATCCAATTTATCGTAAAAACTGATTTTCACAAAAATGTTCGGTAGATGTAACTCACATACTAATTATTTCTCATATTGAACAAACTTTCTATAAGTTGCCAATTAAGAATAAATAAAAAAAAAACAAATATTTTTCACACAACGGATATAACTGTTCGTTTTATTCCATCGAATTTAACCTAATGTTTAAAATTTCAATAAAACTGATAGCTAAGGTAAGCTGTTTTATTATTCAAAATGATCGAGAACTATTTGAATTCATAAAAAGACAGTTATAAACAAAAAAATCTTCCGAGATAACCAAAAATTTTACATATAAAAGTTACAGTCAAACTGTTAAACAATCATTGTCATTTTTAATCAAATGAATTTGCATTTATGCACGTCAAAATATAATTCTTTCTCCGGATAATCTTAAATAGAATATAAATAGTAAAATAATTCGAATGATTATTGGAAACAAGTCTTTAAGAAAAAAAAACCTTAAATAAGAAGGATATTCTCAATCCTATCAACAGCAAATCCTTTTCACAAATAAATAAATATCCTATATGATATCTTCGATTAATTATTAATAATCACATCAAGTTATAAATAGAAATTTGCTTTTCTTTATTCAGTTAAAAATCAAAAATCAAAAATATTTATAAAATTATGAATTTCACCGTGCAAATATTAAAACTTTTCTTCAAGAATTTCTCGTTCAATCGTATTTGAAATTTCATCATTTTGAAAATTTTGATTAATATATGCTGTTGATGATGCTGTACTTATTTCATTAAGTTCAATATCATTCTTTGATTTTAATCTATTTAAGTGAGCATATAATCCATAGCAATTAATACTTTTCATTGGTCCCCAATCGTATCTAGGAGAATTATTTCGTGTTATTACTTCTAAATATCGAGGTTTCTTAAAATTATTATTACCATACCACCAAGATTATTTTCGCTTTTTTCTTGCATTGTTTCTCTCTAGTTAATCAATAACGAAAAAAAAAAAACAATAAAAACAAATTTAAAAAAAAAGGCTTACTGGTTCTACATTAATAGCTCGATATTCTTTTGTATAATTAATAATATAAACAAGTGGAATAGGTATAATACCAGCAAAAAATATAAACTATCCAAGCACTGTACTCCATTTGGGATATGTATATTCTTCAAAACAGCCACTAGGTTTATTTTTCATAGGTTCAATACCGATTAATTTTGAAGCTATGACTATCTTAATAAAAAAGTTTTATTTTATTTGAAAACTTATTTGAACTTACAATCATTAGAATCGGAGCAATGACATACCATGTTACACAAAGATAATATTGAGCTGCTTGCTTTTCTAACATAATTTTAACATCATTCATAAAATGATTAAAACCTTAAAGAGAATTACTATTTCATATCAATATACAATCAAACATTAATATGTGTATAATACGCTCCAATCAACTCTTTTTACGAACTGCGAGAGAGAGAGAAAGAGCTGGAAAATCAGCATATATTCGTTCTCAATCTATTTCATTTTGCCATTCAAATTGGAAAAATAAAAAGAGAAATCTGAAAGTTGAATTGTTAGAAAATAACAGATTTTTCAATTTCAATAGATTTCGGAAAATTCACGAACGAAAAGTGACGCTTCGCCCGTAAAATTAGGTCTCCACTTTCTTTACCCACTAGGTATTCTAGAGTTTCGTTAATAGGGCTTTTGCCGGTTTGATTATGAATTATATATGGATTAAAAAAGTTTCTTTCGACTACATTGATAGGTTAGGTTGGTCTATGACTTAGCCATAGTGTTTTATAAATTGTTTTAGATAATAATTGTTCGATTCATGCCTGCCACAACTCGTGATGCATGTGGGCGCAAGAGTTTTTCTTCATCGACATCTATATCCGGACCTGTCTTTTTTTTCTTATTAATAATATAATTTGCTCATACTCGAACGCATCCTATATGTAAGCTTTAACAATGAAATCTCTGAAACGAATTTTGAACATTATTAATATTATCAAAAGATCAATTTTATAAGAATAGAGTTCTCTCTATACTAAATATAAAAAAGTTGGTTGTATTCTACAATTTTAATCGTCAAACATTTGGTTTTCATGAGCAATATGCATCCTGTTCATAGTCAGCATGTAAAACATTTCGAAAAATTTACATTTTATCATAAAATATTTTCTGTTGAAATTTGAGTTCTTTTACCCTTAATCATTTTGTTCCTGAAATTTCATTGTCTACTATCCAATGGAATAAATTTGAATAGATAATATTTTATAGTTAAATTTGATTCGGAATATCAAATATATTTTCCATAAAACGCGATATATAACAATTGAAAGCTTGACATACAATCAAATTTTTTTTATATTTTGAATGAAACAAACTCTTTTAATGTATCGATATTTTTTTAATACTAAAAATTACTAAATTTTGTTGTGAAACTGTCATAGCGTCAGAATACCTGAAACCAAAGTATTCTGAATAAAAGAAAATTAAGGGGAAGAAAGTGCAGGCATTATCGTCTTTGTCGATTATCATAGAATTAATCACGTCTAATTTGTCGAATGTCATAGCTCTTAATAAGTGGTCTTTTTTACTAATAAAAGTTTTCTCTTTGGGAAATGTTTTATTGACATATTCATCATTAAAGCTTAGAAAAACAACCATATGATGTTGCTCTTTAGTACAATTGTATACATGAGTCTTTAGATTGTAAAGAGCCTTGATAAAATTCTCTATTTTCTTTGAGTTAACACGTGACAATCCTATTGGCTTGTTTTTTATGAGTATAAAACATAGAAAATAGAGAATCTAGCTTAATATAATGATTCTTGAACCAAGAGTGACAGCAGAATCGCAACATTTCAAGACTCTTGATTTTTGATATTTTCACATTGAGTCAAATAGAACCGTGATAAATTTTTGTTGATCCTCCGTTACTTTAAAAGAGTTTCTCTGTGAATTAGTCACTCGAAAATATTTTTCCTTGGTTTTATTTTCAACTTCGGTATTTTGTTTTGCCAGAATGAGATTCGATAGACGCAGTATTTCAATTTATAGAGATATTTATAGAGCTTTAGGAAAACATTGTTCAGAGCATATTTTTAGCAATACACTTCAAAAATGAGACTAACCATAAATATAAGCGACTGTATAGACCTCAAAAAAGCCAACAACAATGATTGATACATTAGCTGCATATTCAAAAAATAAATCAAATAAATAAATTTCACCCTAAAAAAGAATTTTTGTATAAAATACTTAGGTCATACGAAAAGTAGTGGCCCAGATACCTTATTTTTGTATAGAAGGATTGGAGAAATTTTCTTTTTTTATGAACAGATAGAGGGTCTTTCGCTCTATTTTTCTATGATATTTGATCACTATTCAACTAATATCATAAAAATAAAACTTCGATAAAAACTGTTTTTGTTGAAAACCAGCTGGTACCCCATTAGATCATAATGAGTGTGACATAAAAAATGGGGCACTTTTGCATTTCATTTTATCATCACTTACTACGTTGTATTAAAAAACCAAAATATACCACAAGATGCAGCGTGAAAAGCTCTACAATTTACAAAGGATCGCTTATTTTATAGTTGCACTTTTTTGTTTTCAAAATGGACATAACTCTGAGCTACCAATTTTCGACGTTGCGAAAACGAGATTGTTTTTTGGTAAAAGACGAATTCGGTTTTTTCTATCTCATCTTTTTATAATTGTTCTTTGTCAATTGTAGAGCTTTTCACGCTGCATCTTGTAGTATATTTTGGTTTTTTAATACAACGTAGTAAGTGATAACAAAGTGAAATGCAAAGGTGCACATCCATTATGATCTGATGTTGCCAGGTAATTTTCACCAAACAACAGTTTTTATCGAAATTTTATTATTATGATATTAGTTGAATAGTGATCAAATATCATAGAAAAATAGAGCGAAAGTCGCTCTATCTGTTCATAAAAATAGAAAATTTCTCCAATCCTTCTATATGAAAATAAGGTATCTGGGCCACGACTTTTGGTATGACCTCAGTAAAAATAAAATAAGTACTAACCGGACAAGTAAATGGCAAACTAACTAAAAATGAAACGGTACAAGTCAATACAACAGCATATGGTCGTTTAGATCTAAATGTAGGAAATAGTTCTGCTTTGGATGTTATTGGAACATCAGTTAAAGCAAACTGAAATTATTAAACGATCAATTACAATAAGTTTCTATCAAGAAATACCTGTGAACTAAGTCCAAGTGCAAGTAGCATAAGAAAGAAAAGTATTGAAAAAACTAAACTAGCTCGCATATGTGATATGGCCTCAGGATAAGTTATAAAAGCTAAACCAGGACCAGACGATTCAGCAGACATTTCAACTTTTTCTTTTAGTTCTTCTGATAAAAATCCAATGGTAGAAAAAACAGCAAAACCAGCAAATACTCCAGTAAAACAATCATATGATACAACGATACATATTTGTCTATTTAACAATATTAATATTTCAAAATCTTTTTTTTATAAACAAAATAGCAAATACCTGAAAAAATTGTTTTTAAATTTATTTGATGCTGGGGTGGGTGTGGAGGTGTGTGTAGAATGTGGGTATGGGTGTGTGGTTGTGGGCGTGGGTGTGGGCTGTATCCCTTGTGATAATTGACACCCACACCCTCGTTATTGATATTATTTCTCGCTATTCCCCTTGTCTAGTCTATTATTATATTAAATCAGAGGAATCTATGAACTTTCAACCACATTTTTCAGATACAAGTGTTTTTGTTATGATTTACATCTACTTCAGTTGCAATCATAAGGATTTTCTCCTCTCTATCTATAGGATTAAAGGATGTAACATAAGTTGTGATTCCATTTTCCAATAATTCTATTAGAAAAGAGAATCAGAAGTTATGTTCTTTTTCTTCGACCAAATTCCAGTTAACCAACTCGTAAAAAATGAGAGAACACTAGTTTTTCAAAAATATGGCCGGTTGTTCATTCATTCTTACAATGTTTTTTTTCTTCTTAGAGTTGTTAGTTACGATAATACCATTATATCGCAAGATATTCTCTTCTGCTGTTTTTTTGAGCAGATATGTATGTCCGATGTAGTTGATAAGGTAAAATAATGTCTATTATTTTACCTTATCAGCTACATGGGATCAAATTCTTTTGTTTCATAATGCTGATTAGTCTATTGATTTATTGAAATAAGTTTTTTTTCTACATATGTAAAATAGTAATCGTTTCTATCAATACGTTGTTATTTGGTTGAGCCGTGTCTATTTGGATCAAAACTTTGTTGTTGCTCTTTTATTTCCCTTGGATTATTTCTCAGTTAACTTTGTTATTATTCGTTTTTCTTTCCAAAATATTGTTAGATAGTTGTTGTGGCGATTCATTTTTTCCTATGTCAATAAATCGGCGAAACCAATATTGCTGTAGTATATATTTTTCTATTTATATAATAATATAAGATTGTTTGTAAGAAATTAGGATACTGATTACATAGCATAAAGAGTAACCTGTCTTTTTTTTTCTTGTAATGACTAATAGCAAGAAATCATATCTAAAAATAGTGATCCATAAACTTTGTCTCGTCGAGAACGCGCATTATTTTGATACTTGAAGAATGGGTCACGAGAACATTTTAAAAGTTTTATGAAGGATAGATCTTAATGAGAAAAGCAAAATCTATATAACATTCAAAATTTCCAGATGTTTCCTGCGAGATATTGGGGTCATTAGGGTTAAAAGAACTCCCTTTCTCAGCCACAAAATCTCTGTTAGGAGTAACAGCCTTTTAGGATCACTACCAAAAAGTTTATATTTTTAGCACAATAAAAGTTATGATCATTAGTTAATAGTGTTACAAAATACAAAAACAATACATGTTTGTTTTCATGATCTTTTACCAACAAACATTTTCGACTGAATTCACTGATGAATGAGAATTTCGTTTTTAATGAACATTAACTGGAACGTATCGAACAAATGTTTACGTGATGCTCAAATATATGCATGCCAAAATGAATATGAGTTTCTTAAACTTGAACAATGATTAAGAAGATTTCGATCACTGTTTCCACGTGTATTGGATAAATTAAAATAGTTTATTTGCACATCCACATAAATATTTTGTTTGTTTGCACTAGGGGTAAGTATAAATTGAAGTGACAGAGAAGTTCGTCTTATAGAACAAAATAAGTATGGTCGACTCTAATACCAGGAAAAGACGATGAGAAAACAGCGTACTTCACAACTTCAAGAGACTTCATAAGGCTTGAATAGATTTTAGGACAATTTGAGACTATCTGAACGTTGGAGATACCTTAGACATCGATTGTAGGTGGATATGGAATGTGAATGTAGGTGTAAAAGAGTCAATGGAAAAACAAGTGATTTAATTGACCTCTACATCAGTTGAAAATCATAAAAAAACAGCTGAGTTTCAGTGATTTTGAATGACTCTCTGTAAGTTGTTTTAATGATCTCCAATCATGTTCGATAAGTTTTCAATTTATCAAACGCATCGTAACACATAGAAACTCATAGATCACTGTTCTCCTCTTGAAAAGAGTGGCGTTGACGTCGATATGGTTATTCATGTCAGCTGCAGTCACAATCACCTCACTTACAACGTCAAAAAATCTTGAGTTATTAACTATGATGCTGTTAAACTTCAAACGAGTTTTGATTTTATCAGCAGATTGACAAAACAATAAAGGTTTACATTTCTGATAAAATAAGATCATTGAAAACCAATTAGTTTCACTAGTTTTCTTATGAATTTTACATTCATTAAATGTATGTAAAAATTTCAGATGACTTCTTGGGATTTCATAGAACTTCAAGAGACTTAAGCAGACTTTGAAAGATTTTCAAGACTTAATGGAAACTCATAACCGAAGTGTGAGTTGTTTTTCCTTCGGAAAAAATTTCTAATTTCGAATGATAAAGAAAGAGAAAATTTGTTTTTTTCTCTTTGTTTTTTGTCGATAAAATCAATTAGAAACTGTTTATTTGGTGGAAAAAAGGAAGGTACTTCGCAATGATATTTATGTCTAAATAGAAAAATATTCTTTTTATGTATTTACATTAACAGTTTTTGTCAACTGATAAAAACTGTTCTAAGATGAAAACTTATGTCAAAAAGTTTCTTAACACAAACTATTCTCAATAAGTATCAATTGAATGTCTATGATAAATATTTATTGATTTTATAACAAAGAATAATGACGTTTAAACACATCTTATGATAACAATATAAGTAAGATACACTGAAACGTTCTTAAAAAATAATTCATTTGTAGAAGAAAAAGCAAAAATTAAGACATAAAATATTTTTGTAATCGGTTTTTATTAGAAACCTGAAAGAAGATTTTCGAAGGAAAATTATCAGAATATTGACGCTGTCCAATTTATTTATTAGCCGAAATTGTGCTCTTATGATTTTGAAGATGAACATAAATAAATACATTGCTGGTTGTTTTTTTTTTAAAGGATTCATACAGATTATTTTATATTAAAGAACAGGTCTCATATTAAATATTGTGTAATATTCTCTCATTGATTTGCTTTTGTTCTTTTCAGCGGCGATTTATTGTGTAAAAAAACAAATAAACACTTTTATATGCAAAACTATTTATAGAAATATTCTTGTTATTTGATATTTCTTTATTTATTCACCAATTTCAATTAATTTTAAAGAATTAAAAATATTGTCATGCCTTCATCTGCTTTCAAAAGNCGATTCTAAAGCATCGAGGTGAATGAAGTCATCAAAGATATAGTGCAAAAGATTAAGAATTTACGTCTTCTCTATATTTAAATAAAATCAGAATTTCGATAATATTCTAAAACCGCACGTAAATAAAATTAGACTTCTAATGTGAATGAAGCTGAATTGTTAGTTTGAAAACAAAAATTGTAATTCATCTATACGAAACACATTTCAAACGATAAAGCTAAAAGTTATTGCTTCCGATTCAAATCAAGTCATGATCACTATTACTCTTCTTATTAAATTTATTTGTTAAGTTAAAATAGTCAGAAAAATCAGAATAGAAATAGTTAATTTTTATTTGACAACACCTTTGTGACGAGACAATATGTTCAATCCATGACGCATTAGTCTGACAATTTATAAATATTTATACAAAATTCGTTTTCTCTAATGATACTTTGTTAATGAAACATTCTTAATTTTTTACATGAATACTCTTGATAATAACAAATACTTGAGAATATCTATGAAAACCTGTTGACATGATTGACTTTTTGCCTCATTTTTTTACTAAAAGTGTTTATCTTACTCTGCATCTTTCTAAAAGTACATTTCTAGATTGACTATTTAGATAATTGCTTTACATTGTGACGTTATTTTTCAGAATAGTATAACACAGCTTGATACAGTGCTAATGATATAATCAGCTATGACTAACTTATTGTGTTCTCTTCTTCTATGCTGCTTTTGTTCGAAATAGAAAAGTTATTTGTTGTTTATCATAGTCGTGTTTACTTTCCCATATTTGCAGAAATATCTATGCTCCAATGAATATAGAAAAAGATAGATCTTCAAAAACCTACATGAGAATATAAGAAGAACAGCAAAGATTAACATGTGTTGCCAATTTTTCCATACATATTTAAACGTACCTAGTATTTAATTGGACATCTTTAATATTTTTTGTATTACACTAACTTTTCTCCTTTAATATTTGTATTGTTTCGAAGGAGGGAACAGTAGTATAGATAAGCAGCAGTTTTATATGTATGTGCTGACTTCTGTACGTGCATCTATGTAAACTGATCAACTGACCTAAATGTCAATGCTCACTAATAATTTTTCATAAAGAAATGCAGTATCAGTTGTTAGATTAACATTTCAACTTAACTGTAGTTTTTTCCATTAAGTTGTTCTCAAGTTTCATGTCACAATTTCTTCAAAACAATGATTTAAGAGCAAGTTTTATCCCATTGATGAACGGATATTCGGGAGTTTTAATCTTTTACATTTCATTTTATGAATGAAGCACAACATTCATAGTTTTTATTTCGAAAAAAATTTCATTTTGAGATAATGGCATTTTTTTCATCGTCTTCATATATGAAATTATTAATATATCTGTTTATATTTATACTTTTTCGATCACTTGAACATTATTTTTCTTTTCTTTCCTTTTCTGTTTTAATGCTCTATTCTCTCTGTCTAAATTATGTGATTGGTTTATCCCTATTGGTCAATTATCCTTTTTGTCTTGAAACAAAGAAAAGAACACTGATAGAAAAGGAATGAACAACGTATATTCGATTCATTTGAAACATAGATGATCTAATTGTAACATCGAGTCGTCTCTCCGCACAGCACAACTCAA